TTGAATTTGCTCTGGGATCGGAGCTCTTGTGTAACCTTGTGTGCTTTTCATATAAAACTATTTTTCATGCCATGTGCAGGATAAAAATTGCTTAGCCCAATTTTTAGGATATCTTGAATGACTTGGGGATGTATCACTGGCAGAGGGCTTGAAGAAAACACGCAGATACAACGTGTTTATTTACCACAGAGTCATAGAACTGATAAGGAAAAAAATAAAGTAAGGGTTTTAGTTAGACAAAGAAAATCCATGTGTTTACAGCTGAGGATGTGATTGTTGAGAGGGGATAGTCTGATTGGAGGATTTTAAATGGGATTGCTGCTGTTCTGGATACTCCTTCTTTTCTTCCCTGCCTGCTCTCAACTTTTTCCAAAGGAATTTCCTTGAGATGCATGAAGGGTTACCCTTCATTGGCTTTAAAAAGAAGCCGTAGCTCTAGATGTAAGCCACTGCAGTTCCTTTTGGAAAGTGTGCAACTCTGATGTGCTGCTGCTTGGTGAGCTGAGGCACTAGGGTGCCTTCTGCCAAGTGCCCGCATGCAAACCCTGCGTGTGCCCATGGGGAACGTGCCAGCTGCAGCCCAGGTCTGGGAAGGAGGACTACCTGCCAGCTGGTTACTCAGTTGTGATTCATGCTCGTGGTGTTCACTGAACGTTTGTGGTTTTGGCTCTTTTCAAAACTTCCACTGACCAGCCCAGTCCTACATCATTTAGTCTGAATCTGTAAACACTTGATTGATAATAAAAGGGCAATATAAAGTCCAGCACGCTGTATGGATTAAAAGAGCAGACATGTTTATAGCCTGATAACAACGGACTACTCTGGCAAAGATCAGGAGTCTCAAATTTCCATATCCAGATGATTTTATTTTTGGAGTCCACTTGGTGGTTTTAATTTTTGGCTATTGCAAAACCATCATAGGTCTTAGCTGTTGCAACACGGAGGAGGAAGGAGCCACTTGGAACGGGAGCTTTGTGCTCTTATTTAGGAGGCTGTCCCACAGTTGCTGGGCTCTGAGTACTGCGGGAGGAACGATGCTCTCTCCTTGCTGCCTGGAGAGGGGGTCAGGGCGCAACAGTGTCACTTCATAGTGCCAGCTCTGGGGGCATGGACAAGCTCCGATGACATTTCTGCCCAGCCCTGGGAAAGTAATCTCAGAGGTGAGGAGCGGGAGGATTGTAAAGTGGAGCCCTATGGAGAGGAGGAGGGCTATCCTCAAGACTTTAACCAGGAAACGGACTCGAGGCAAAAATAAACGGAGAGGCAAGCAAACTCTTATTTCAGCCAGCAATCTGTTGTGCGCTCTGCTCTCGGGGAGGGCTTGCAAGTTGGAACTGAACTGTAATACTAATTCTGCTTTTTTTGGGGGAGGGTTGGAAGGGAGCTTTACCTGGCACGTCAGCCTTATCCTACCCTCTGCTCTCCATTCCTCCTGCCTGTACTGAAAAGGCTTTCCAAAAGTGGTGCTGTGATATTCATGGGGCATTGCAGTGTGCATGTAAGCTTGCTGGGAATCCTGCCCTGCTCTGTGGGGCTCATGTTGTGCAGGTGTGATCCTGGGGATCCTGAGCCTCACTGACGCATCATTTATTTAAAGATGCCTATCAGGGTGGAGGACTGAGAAGGGCTGAAGTTTGTGTCTGTCTGAAGGGAGTAATGGAACAGCTGAAACCAGCCTGCCCAGATAACGTGCGAGGCTTCAGATTACTGGGAGAAGCTGTTCCTGTCTCTTCCAGCTCTCCTCCTTCCTTTACTGTTGAAGCCTTTCCCACTGTACAGTGTCTGATCCTGGGAGGGCATCACTTCAGGAACTGCAGGGTTACCCTCCACGTGGCCATGTGCAGCACTCCAAATTTAAAGCAGGGTGAGATGATCTGCTGTAGCTGTAAATGAACAGGCTTATTTGACTTTGATTACTTGTTAGACCAAGGAGTTGTGTGGCTTTTTTTTTTTTTTTTTTTTTGCCTTAACAGGAGTCTTGTAATGCTTAAGCCAGCTTCTGTTAAAACAGTCTCTTAATTGTAAGTGTTGCATCAGATGCTGTAGTGACAAAGAAGTCCTCCTGTGCAGAACGCTTTATCTAAGCCAGGACAGGGTAGACTACTGAGTTTCAGATATGCGAATACAGATGGACTGCATCTTGTTTTTTTTGTTTGCTTTTTTGTTTGTTTTAAATTTTTTTATTATTATTACTTTTAGAGAGAGAATTGCGGAAGTGGGTTGGCAGTGCTCCTTCTCTGGGTTTGCTGGCCGGGGCACTCCCCTGGCACACGGTCCCTGGCTCAGCATGGGTGGCTGGTGTGGGATGTCTGCCAGCCTGCACTCCGGCCATGGCCCGGCTTTGTTCCCAGCAGGGACACGTGTACCACACGAGCACTGCTCCTGCCACAGAGGCACTGCTGTCTGGTGGTTTTTGTCCTATGACTACTGTCTAGGAGATAGAGAAGACATCTGTGGTGTGTGTGCGCAGCAAATAGCTTTGTGAGTGTCCTTTACTCCCTTTGCAATTGTTTGGTCCCTCATTCTGCCTTTCTAAGCACGCTGAATTCTTTGCATGTGCATAATTACATTGCCATGGTGGCTTTTGGTTTTAGTTAGAGAATCCTAGGGCAAAAATGGAGTGGGGGCTATAGGCATTGCTTGCTTAAATAAAGTGAAGAAAGGTGCTGCTGCTTTTCCCCCTTCCCAGACTGGAGAAGGGACTGTGTGGGAAGCAGAGAAACAGGGGAAGGCATCTCCTCACACTCCTGATAACCAAATTAGTGCTGGTTTAAACCAGAGCACACAAATCAGGCTGATTCATTGTGAACAGAAATATGATGCTTCTTTAGAGTGAACAGCTATAGTAAAAAACTGTATAATAAATCTTAATATTGTCAGTTCACTGCTTTCTTCCCCTGTTCCTACTGCTGGCTGTGGTTCAGCCATCCACAGAAGAGCTAAATCTCTTAAACACAACCTTCAGGAGGAGATGACTCCTCTTTAAAGAAAGTTAACCTATGGAACATAAGAGCAGTCAGAGGCAGGCCTAGGGAGCACGGAAGTCATCTAATTTTCTGGATTTCTTAAGACCAGTCCAAAGGGAGGCATTGTGATAGTGTTTCCTTTCAGGAAAATGTTAAGTTAATTGCTTTTATTTAAGGATTTTCCTTGCACAGGATGCTGTTCTAATGACTGATGCACTCTTTATCTCTCTTTTGGCAGGAATGCTAATTATTTGTCTGCAGAATTAGTTTGCATCTGCAGTTCAAATACATACATGCGGGCTGCTTTTGGAACTGCAATGCAACACTGAGCATCCTGTGCTTAGCTATTAGTCCCCCAGCTTGTCCAGCGGACTGCTTCAGACCATGCTGCTTCCTTCCTGTCTCTTGTAGCCAATTTGTCTTCAGAGATTGAGGAGACCTGGAGTCTGCTCCTGGCTCTGCCCCCGTCACGTGAAATGGGACTTTCAGCAGGCCGTACATCTGCTGCTGTCTCCCTTTTCCATCTGCATCTTAATCTAGAGAGACGGGAACTGCCTTTTACTGTGTAAAATGTATGATATACTGTTGGTCCATACAGCTCTGCCTTTATAGACAATGCTGCAATTCAGGAAACCTGTAAAATAGTTTTGCATGAAGGCTTGTGTCTGGTGGCTCTTAGCGCAGAAATCCAAGGTGCTTTTTGTTCTGCTCTGACGCTTTGAAGAATGTGTTTTTGAGGGAAAATTAAGAAACTTTGAGGCTTTCATGACCTTTCAAGGCAGTTTCCAGGCAGAAGCAGTGCTGTGGTGCCCATGTTTGGAGGAGCTGAGTATGTGCTGTTTATATTGCATCAGAGCGGTGCCACATCCATGCAGCGGTGGCAGCACTGGGATCTCCCCCATGCTTGGAGCAGCAGTGTGCCTGCCGTGTGACTCCTCCCAGAGTGTACAGTTTTGATTTTGAGGTTCAAAAATTTAAAAAAAAAAAATAAAATTAAATTAAAAAAAAAAAAAAAACGGGAAAAAAAAAAAAGAACCAAAACGCCCAAGAAAAGCTTGAGGGCAGCAGGGGAACGGAGAACGGTTATTTGCACTTTTTTTCTTCTGTGTTTGTATGAGAGCCTGCAGTCATTGCTCTTGGCTCTGACAGCCAAGAACCTTCAGTACGAAGGAGAAGCAAACAGGGAGGACTGTCTCTAAGAGCTCCAAGAAGGCACCAAAGGGCTATGGAGAGGGAAGTGGGACGCACCGTGCCTGGCCAGGGACGCTGGGCTGTGCTCTGCTCCGAGGCAGCTTCTGCACTGGGGAATGCGGAACCGCGGAGCTGGCGGGGGGCAGGCAGGGGGTGGCCGTGTTTTAGCAAGGATCTGGCGCTATAACTTTTTTTTCTTCTTCTGTTTCAAGTAAACACTCCTCCCCGCCCTCCCCTCTCTCCCTCCACCCCACCTCCCTCTCTTTCAATCCTGCTCATGTGTTTCTATTTAAGGGCTGCAGTGCAGACGAATATGATTGGCATCTACAGCCCCCTTTTGACTTTCAGCTCAAGCCTTTAGAGTGGAGAAGGAGCTGAGACGCCAAGGGGAGAGCTGTTTTTCTTTTGGTTTACTGGGGGGATGGCTCAGCTGTGGATTTATGCTGCTTCTGCCCAGGATTTTTCTCACTGAATGGGAGCAAGGATTGTGGAAACCATGTTGGGAAGAGGTTTACTTTCAGAATCCATCATGAAACTCTGCGACTAAAACACTGTATTTTCGGCTCCTTTTCAAAAAAAAAAAAAAAAAACCCCGAAACATTTTTTTTTCCTCCCCTTTTTCTTCCTCTTCTCTCCAATGTCCCTCTGTGCTGCTGGGTTGTGGGCCAGAGGAGGCTATTTCTATATGGCCAGCCATTTGGGGATATGCTGCGAGCCAAGGTTGTTTGCTGATTCGCTTGGCTCTGGTGACAACTTGGCCTGTTGTGACTCGGATGGACGGAGGTCGCTCTCGAGGAGCCATGGCTGGAAGCTGGCTTACAGCTTGCTTTTTCCCTTCCCCAGGTGCTGATGCTAGCTCTGAACCCATGATCCTGGAGCAATATGTGGTGGTGTCCAACTATGAGAAGCAGGAGAACTCTGAGATCAGCCTCCAAGCTGGAGAGGTCGTGGATGTCATAGAGAAAAATGAAAGTGGTAAGACAACTTTGTTGCTCATCCTTCTTTCAATGGTCAGATTTTTTTCCATGTGTTCCTGTTCTTTCAGTTTCTTCACCACTGCTCGTAGCCGTACGTTAGCTCCATCTGGTACAGTTACTATGTCTGGCTGAGGATGTTGAAGTTTCTCAATGTTGATTTGGGCTGGGGGCCAAATGTTGCCTTCTACTGTAAGAATGTTTCATGGGTTTTGTGTGTTAATTAGCTGAAGTACACTAATGGAAAATGAAGGTGAAGGAGAGAAGGGTCTGCAGCTAATGAATTTGATGTATAGTAGATGATCTAGTTGCCCTGCTGTCTCTTTGAGTCTCCGTCAGCATTTCCATTACTAACTCCTTTTTTTGGAGGATTTATAGGATGAGCGTTTAAAAATTGCTTGGGGTGAAACTTGGCTTGACAGCTTAGCCTGTAGCCCAGAGCTCAGTAGGGAGGGAAGGGAATGTGTGTAGATAAATACATGGCCGTGCACAGCTTCAAAACTTCTTGCAGAAGCGTTAACTGGGGAGTTTAGAGGCAAAGAGGCAGAGCATGTAATGTAAAAGTAAGATGAAATCCCTTCTTCTGCCATCTGTGCAATAACTAGCTTGTGCTTGGAAAATGAGATTCTTGGCAAGTGTTTGTATAGATGTCTTTTGTGTGCTTTAACTCTTGGATGCCTGCTAGCTTCGAGTCAGCCTAAACAAATGTATGAGACTGTGTACATGGTGGAGCAGGTTAGCAGCTGGTTTAAATAACTGCCTGTCTTCAGCAGCTCCCCTCCTCCCTCCAGCGCTCCTTGTGCATTAATCCAAAGCAGTTGTCCAGGGCTGTTCTCCAGCCCACTCGTGACTTGTGTGTCCTCATCCAGAGGAGCTGCTGGCGTTTGGAGCCATGCTTGCGAGGCTCGTGCTGTGGGAGCTCCGCACGCAGGCTCTCCTGGCTGGCTGGCTCTGGAGTGCGCTGGCAGGGGAACCGGGACGCCCTGGTCAGGGGCTTAGGTCTATTTCTCAGAGCTCTGAGTCTGTTCATCCATAATGATGATCACGCGTTGTATTTATGTATTTCTTTTTCCTTCAGTGGAGTGGTAATTTCTTTGCTGTATGAAAGCCTAATGCTAGCTTGGCTGTGTGAAGCAGTTGCTGGCCAGTGACTTACAGTGGTGTCCAAAGGCATAGCGTGTGGGAATGCACTCACTCGGGTGAACAGAAATGCTTGTCCTCTGGATACTGACTGTATCACTTGCAAAACTAGTAAAGACCAAAATGCTAACTTGCTCCACTTCAAAGCTCTCACTGTGATTGTAAGGGAAAAAAATCTTGATTTCAACTCCCTGGACTAATGGAGAAGCCTCCTCCCTTCGGAGTCTGAAGGTTTCTCATTGTCAACAGTGGGCATTACTGCTGTCAGAACAAACCTGGCCATTGTGGCAACTTGTGTTCATGTCCATGATATCCCTGCTTTTGATAATGGCTTATGGTACTGAGGAAACTAGGTAAAAAATAATGCAAGAAGCATATCTGAATTTCAAATGACAATTCCCTTGTTTTGTTTTAATGTGGCCTCTCTGCCTTGCATAGTTCACAGTGTCCTGTACTGAGCCACGTGGTATGTGGAGATGCAGGAGGGTTTAATTTTAAATAGTGGGTCCAGTAATGTGATTCTAAGGAAACATCCTTGAACTTGGGTTACAGTCCTTGAGACTGTATTCTCAAGATGCTTATCACCTAGGCTTCATGATGCTCGTATAAATAAGAAGAGATATGAAGCATTGGGATCAGCAATCATGCCTGTATGAGAAACCATGGCACCAATCGGTGATGTACAAAGCATCGCTTGCTTTGGATGCTTCTCTGTACTGTTCTGGCAAGGGCATAATATTTCAGTTTGTCCACGAGCAGGACTCCAAACGTACACTCAAACTCTCTGTTGGGTTAGGGATACCACAGGAATGACTTCAATACTTTGAATTCTTGTATCTTCTGGAAACTGGAATGGCATGTAAAGGAACTAGCTGAAGTTTTCTGAAGTCTGAGCTTTTTAAGCTTGCAACGTGGATTCAATGCAGAACCTGTTTAGTGTAGGAAAGCGTGTCTAGAATATGTGGTTATGACTTTTAAGAACGTGGGGATACACTTTTTTTTTTAAAGAACATAAGATCATTTGGACTATGCCTGTGGGTGGCAATTCACCTCACTGTATGGTTGTACTGTCTTCGAAAGTGTTGTGAAACTAGAGCTGCGATGATATAAATTAAGCTCATTCTCCTCCCATGCCCAGAAAGCAGTGATGAAGCAAGGTGTTAAGTATGGCACTGCAGCAGGGACGGTGTCAGCAATGAACTTTTGCCATGTGTAGCTCCTCAGAACAGGAGGGAGGGAAGAATAACTAGATAGCTTACAGTGCCATTAGACTGAACAGTGTGCTTTGAATGTGGTGATGGTTCTGCTGGGCAAATGTTGCAAACTTTCTTGTGTGTATACTTGCAAATATGGGGTTTTGGAAGGGTTTTGTTTGTTTTTCAGTATATGCTTTGGGAAAGCTAAATAGGGTAGCTAATAGGCATGGCTGACTGCTTGATTTTTGTTTCTTTTTTGTTTGTTTTTGGTTTGTTTTATTTTATTATTATTTTTTTTTTTTTTAAAGCCTTGCTTGAATAGAGTTGCATGGTGATGCCTAGGGATGTGTTAATAGTTCTTTCGTTTTCCAGAGTGGGAGGAATCTTAGGTTGGCTCTGTTGCACAGCTTTGTAGGGACGAAATACCTTGGCTTTACTGGCCAGATGGCCCTTACACAGTGATGTTCAGAAGCTGTATCCAAACAGTGCCTGTTTCATGTCCTTCTGAAGGCTTTCTTCTGAAATGCTTTTAGGGCCTGAGCTAATTATCATCTCCCTGTTTGCCTCCAAACTGCACATCCCTCTAGAAGGAATTACACCATACTTTCCAAGGTCAATATATCAGGTAGAAGCAGAGGGGGAAATAAAAACCTTCCAGTGTATCATATATTGAATTCTTACCTGGTTATTATCCATTAGGTTAACTTCATGTTAAGTGTGTTAAATTTGCCATGTAGCATTATTCAGTGTTATATCTGCCATATAAGCAATGAGATTTGAGGCATCTTGCAGTCAGACCTATTTGAAACAGGGTTGTATGAAGTTGTCTTCATTACTGAACCAATGGCTCAGACTTGGATATCATTTCAAGTAGAGACTTCTGTTCGATATTAAGACTTTAAAAGCAAAGTCAGTGCAGCATGTGGTGAATAAATCCTGAAACCTTTCATCTCTGTTATGAAGCTCATGGGCCACTGTAACCTGACTGTTGCTGCAATTGCCATGGAAGCAAATTTTGCTGGACTGGAAGATGTCTGTAGGACTTCAGTGCTTCAGAACAAATTACTCAGTTATGTACCAGCTCTCAGTCTTTGAAACACATTTTCTGGGGGAAAAAAAAATCTTGGTTCAACAAAAGTTGCCTTTCAGACCTTCCTCTGGATAATAGTTGCATGAGTGGAAGGTGTGCTGGTATTATCATTGTTTTTAAACTCAACTGGGGAGGGAAAAGCTGTATGTAGCAATGGTCAGAAATGCATCAGGATTGAAGTGAAGGTTTACATTCTCTCCAGCTGGTGTCTGGGAGCAGGCTGCAGTTGCAGGGCTGTGTCTGATGGGTTTGTTTAAATGTGCTGTGTAGCCAACATGCACTGGCCAGCTCTATCTAAACATCTCTGTGTAGCTTTGGGATAGCAATGTAAATAACTGACTCGAGCGTTGTCTGTCAAGTGCATTTGTTTCTCTTACACCTTAACTAGAAAAGCCTCGTGGAATGATCTGAAGGGTATGTATTTGTGTTGGAGCAGTGAAATGTGACTTTAAAGCAGGAATCTGATGCAGATTTCTTTGAGGTAGAAGGGGGAGAGACTCGGCTCGAGCAGCTCCCTCCTTGCCAAGTTCTGTGTGGATGTGGCTTGAAACGGTCAAATTATAAACTGTGGCAGCAGTGTTTGCAATGGAAAACCTGACAGACAGGGAAGCATAAGCACATTCCGAGCACCTCTGCTGCTTGGCTGTGTGGTGGGATGGGGCTCTTCCCTCACAGCCCCTGTGAGCCCCTTCTGTTAGGGGAATAGAGGGATGCCTCTTCAGTGGGGCTGAGCAGGACGTAACTGTTTCCTTTGCAATTACATAACTGCAGACAGATTTCCAATATTATATTGGAAGCTACAAAGCTATTGCAGCTAGTGTAGTTTCCTCAGGAATGAGAGGGCCCTTTGGGAAGGGAGGCCAGGGCGTGGGGCACAGCAATGAAGCCTCACTATGAGGAAGGCCTCTGCTTGTTAGGGTGCCCTGGCTTTGGGGTCCCCAGTGTGAGACCTCTATTCCATGCTTACTTTCCCAGCTAGTATTAATTTTCAGTCCTATTCATTACAGTCTTGGTTTCTTAATTCTGTAATGACAACTTCCTGCCTCACATCTGCTTTCTGCTGCTTCACCTCTTTCTCTAGGATGTCACCATCTTCACGCTCCCTCATTTGTACATGACAGGAGTGTGGCACTGTGTGCAATGGTAGCAAATGTCTTTGAGCATTAGATTTATCTTGCAGAAGTTGGCCAAAGTCCAGTGCACTTCTGTTTATTCTAACACATAAGTAATACTTCAGCAGTTTCCTAGGCTCCTAATATTGATGGAGCTCTACACTGAGTCACAAATACAACTATTCTGTTTACTTTAAAAATGTCAATAGCTGAGCATCCACCAGTTGGAAGTGTTGCCAGACACTGTATACTTAATTGCCATCATTGTGCTTTCATTGTGCTTTATTTCAGGTCAAGTGTGCATGCTGTCTTTCCCTGGAAATGTTTCTTACAGAGCATTTCAAGAGAACATTGTCCAGCGGATGTGACTCCTATCTTAATTTCCATTTGTACACCTAGCCCTGACCTGATCTTTGCTCTGAGAATATTGATTCTTTGCATTTCCATTCCTTCCCAGCGTGGC